CCCCAAAACCCCAAAACCCCAAAACCCCATAAGTCTATTTATATTGAGGGTATTGAGCAAATAATTATAATATTAATTAGGAGGAATGAAAAGTATCCTAAATCTCTTAGTGATAGGCTTTGCCTTTTCACAAGCTTCTCAGGTACCATTAATTTATTTTACAACATCTATAGCTCTTTTTGAAAGATGATCCAATCCTTCCATCTAGTATGGATGGCAGCAGCTATTCTAATGTTGAATTCATTCAAACTAGAAACTTTGACTTAGATATTTCTGTTGATTTTGATAAAAAATCCCTTTCTGGAACTAACACTCTCACCTTGCAAGCAGTCAAAGACAAAGTTGGAGAAGTCATTCTTGATTTCTAAGGAATGACTATTTCATTAGCTGAAGTCTATTCAGATGAATAGAAAAAATTCCTTACAGCCCCTATCACCACATAAGATTTTCCAGTTCTCGGCTCAGCAGCTAAAATTACACTTCCATCAAGTAAGTAGAATAGATTTAATCAATCATATGATAGTTCTCGCTAAAGACGACAAAGTTGTAGTAAGAGTAACCTACGCTACCAACGATTAAGCTCAAGCCATTAACTGGCTCACTGAAGCTCAAACCACAACCAAGACTTTGAAATATTTATTCACTCAATGCGAGCCTATTCACTGTAGATCAGTCGCCCCACTTCAAGATACCCCATCAATTAAAGCTACTTATTCAGCTAAAGTTACTGTAGCTGATCCATACGTAGTCAAGATGAGTGCCAACGAGACTGCTCCAGTTAAGAACCCAGATCAAAAGACCACCACCTATAATTTTTAGAACTCAATCCAAATGCCATCTTACCTTTTAGCTATGGCAGTTGGTAACTTGGCTTACAAGTCAACCGGCCCAAGAACTGGAGTTGTAGCTGAACCAGGTCCAGATGCTCTCGATAGATACGTCAAGGAACTAGAGGACCTTGAAACCTTCTTAAATACAACTGAAAAGTATTTGACTCATTATATCTGGGGATCTTACACTGTCCTCGTGCTCCCAGCTTCCTTCCCTTATGGAGGCATGGAAAACCCACTTTTGACTTTCGCATCACCAACCATCATTGTTGGAGATAAGTCTCAAGTATACGTTGCAACTCATGAGATTGCTCACTCTTGGACTGGAAATTAAGTTACCTGCAAGGACTGGTCAAACATGTGGCTCAATGAAGGATTTACAGTCTTCGAGGAGAGAAAAGTTTCAGGCCAACTTAATGGTGCCAACTTCGCTAAGATTGAAGCCTAACTTGGCAATGTCTCCCTCTGGGTTGACATTGAAAACTATGGAGAGACTAATTCCTACTCAAGTCTTTATCCAGTACTTAACGGAGCTTCCCCAGACGACTCATTCTCTCAATTACCTTATGATAAGGGTTTCTAATTCCTCACCTATCTCGAGACTTTAGTTGGAGAAGAGGCCTTCCAAAAGTTTATCTAAACTTATGTCTTGAAGTACACTCAATAGAGTGTAACCTATCTAGACTTAAAAGCCACCTGGGAAGATTACATTAACACTAACTTCAAGGACAATGCTACAACAATCCTCGGATTAGTCGACTGGGTTGCTTGGGTAACAAAGCCAGGAGCCAACCCATCTGTCTACAATGTTAGTTTCGAAACTGATGAAGCTAAGGAATTCGAAGCTCTTGCTGATTCTTACATCGACTTAAAAGGTAAATCTCACCCAGACGGTTGGGACAAGTACCTCTCAGTCAAGGATCCTTAACTCAAGATCATTTTCTTAAACAGACTTGTTGACAGACAAGACGATGTGACTCTTGATTTGATGAAACTAGTTGATGCAGACTTCAACTGCACATGGGACAAGAACCCAGAGATAGGTTAAAGATGGTTACCTCTTGCCATTGCTGTTCAATACAACGATGCTATTGAAGGTGCTCACCACTACGTTTCATATCTTGGAAGAATGAAGTACATCAACCCAGTTTATATTGCCTTAGTCAAGAACGGCAGAAGAGACCTTGCTAACAAATGGTTCAAGGAGAATCTTGACTTCTATCATCCAATCGCTGTAGCCAATCTTAAGAAAATCATATATGGTTCTCTCGAGGCTAAAGAAGAGCACATGATTCAACTATTCAGACAATCAGTCCAATCAGGAAGAATCATCATCTGAGCAAGCTTAGAGTTCGTTCACCCTCAATAATATCTAATGATTATTTCCATCAATCTTTCTTTAACAATTACCTTAACTCTATATAGCATGCAGGGGTTTTGGGGTTTTGGGGTTTTGGGG